TGCATATTATTGACAGGCATGATTGCAGGCATTGTTAATTTACATTTCTGTAATTTTCTCTGTAATGTTACATTGCAATCTGCAATATTGCAACATTGCAGCAATATTGCTTTAATCTTCTGTGCTGTGTGGATATAGATGAGTATGTGAGTGCGTAACGATCTAAGAAAAAGTCTATTCATCAGAGAATATATGTATAAAAAATATAACGAATAGAATATTTTATTTTTTTCATAATATGCGTTAATATTTTGACAGTTCGATGGTTGGCGCATGCCTTGGCCTTTCCTATATAAAGAAAAGGCTCCTATTATGAGATACCGAGTTTTGAGTAAATGCTAGAAGTCTATATAAACAGAATTTATAAAAATAATAAGTTGATTTTGAAGGGAATTTAATAAGCTTTAAGATAACATTACATAAAATTTAATTCAAATTTCATTTTTTTTGAAAATTAAAGAAATGTGAGCAAATCGCAAAGTCAAAAAATTGTGCTCCTAATATGAGATGCCTCGAGAAATCGATAGTAAAACGCAAAGTATATCGGTATTACAATTAAAAAACTTTATTTAATGTTTCTAAAATACAAACAAACACACAGTCAGCGTGCGCGAAAAATGAGCATGCGATAGATTATACCCAGAATTCGTTTTCAGATAGTTGGAATCAAACATCGCAGATATAGGCACTCGACGCTCATTCCGATTGTCTTTTTTATTATTGTACAATAACATTTACTCTTTAATGATTTTCATTATAACATAGAAGCATGGATTACTTCATATTAGAAATACCCTAGGTATCTCATATTATGATTTTTATGCCTTATAGTTTTATGATATCATCAAATCTAACTTCTAATTAAATAATTCAACATATCCCATATTTTTCTATTAGTACGATCTTACTCCATCACTACTGAAGAATTTATTGCTAAATATTTATTTATTAAATAATAAACAAGATTTAAATGCTTATTTCAATAAAACTTAAAGACATCTAAATTCTAAAATCTTGTTTTACAATGATTACAGGCATGATCTAATAATGAATTTTCTATTAAATAGTTTTCAATAGCAATAAATTCATGGTTAAACCAACAGATAGCGTTTATTAGTTTAGCAGAAACGCCGTTATCTCTATTATATTAGGTGCCTATCTCATAATAGAGGGCTTTCCTCTTCATGTAAATAAATTCTAAAGTCGCACAAAATATATAGTCTTATCATTTAAATATAACTACACTGCTGATAGCATTTTATACGTATTCTAAACAAGGTGTCATTAAAATTTTTATATAACTTTTACATCTCAATATTTTTTAAATAAAATTTAAAACAGAGGTTTATTATCATATCTGCTTGAAGATATTATATTCAATTTTATTTTTTATACATTCTCATAATATTTAATATTTATAATATTTAAAAAATATGTATGAACTGCAGTATAAATATTAATAAATTTTTATTTAACTTTGAGTTAATACAATCTTAACGTAATTTTAATTGAGTTAGTTTTTTATTTATTCAACATTTAACTTAATTAAATTAGTTCTGTAAGCCATTAATTTTAACTTAATTTAGTTTAAAAAAATTTTAATTTACCAGATCCTGTTTATGTAGTATGCAATTCTCAAACAATATGGTATATTGTATATTATGTCATTGCACATATGTTAAAGTGCCCCTACAGAAAAATATTGGACTCATAAGAAAACTATTGAAACGAATAATGTATAATAATGTACTTGAATAGTTTCCCAATGATTTTGAATAATTTTTTCGCGTTTCCAAAAATATTTTCGTGAGTCCAATAATATTTTCCGTAAGAGTTCGTAAGAGACCTCTATTAATCCTAGCTATACATAATGGGATCCTAATCACAATGCAATTTGTTAAATCGAGATTTTTTTCGTATTTTTGAACTTTTCTTTCTCTTTAAATTTATATACCTCAAACTTCTTGATTCTAATGATTTTTATACATTATGGACTTGTTTCTTAATCAATTCTCCATTGATTGAAAAAAAAATTAATTGAAATATGTCCATTTTTACGGAAGTTATAATAATAAATATAAATGAGATTCCAGACACTCAAGTGTGTATATCAAAGGTAGAAAAAAATAATATGTATAGCTAGGGTTAATACGCAGCTTTTCTTCCTGTGTGTTACATAATTGAATGTCAAATGTGGTTTGTGCACAGTTGTGCAAATTAAGATATTGCAGGTGGATGTTGACAACTTTTTATTAATTGTTATGTATATTAATTAAGACTTTTCAATAACACACTTATTTCTTCTTTATAATTATTTCAGTGCATTTATTTCATAAAATAAAATTTAAATTTAAAATACATATATTATCAGTTATTTATAATATTTGAAATTTATAATTTTGTAACATTATTATATGAATATTATATTATTTATAATATTTATAATTTATAAATTAATGTTACAATATTCTGAAAATTTGAATACTGTTGTTTAAATAAAACACAATGACAATAATCTTATTTAGAAGTTAGAAAAGATAAATTTGTTAGTTTAAATACGAAGCGCTATTACGATTAAAATGTTGAATTATTATATATTCATTTAAATGAATTAATTTCAGAAATGATAATATGGTGCATGCCAATATGGTTCTTGGACTTTCAATGCAATCTGAAATATTAATAATCCCCCAAATTTCCCAAATTTAATCTTAAAAAAACTGTAATGAACTTATTACGAAAAATATTGCCTCGGCCGGGAGTCGAATTGAAATCTTTTGCATAGAACGCTCGCACGGAATGCATTTGGAAAATTTGGGGGGATTATTAATATTTCAGATTGATTGTATTGAAAATATATCAGCGACAATCATATCGGCAATTATCATTTCTGAAATTAATTCATTTAAATGATCTAATTAGTAATAAGGCTCATAAATTTTAAAAAACAAAGAAAGGTCTCGTAGTTCTCTTTTTTCTTTGTCATTTAATGAATCATGAATATGTATAATAGTTCAACATCTTAACATTCAGACGTAGTGGCGCTTGGTATTTGAAGTAATGTATTTACCATAAACGGTCTTATTTTCAATCTTATTGTATATAAATTTGTATTTGTATTCTCATAATTATTCTCATAATTATACAATTTTATTTTGATAGTACACAAATAATTTTATAATGCAATACAGCAATGTAAGCAAATAGCATGAAAATGACGACGAATGATTTGGATGTTATTAACATTTAGAGTAAAATTCAAGAATAAAAATTATTCTAAGATGTTATTTATAAAAATTCGAATAATATACATAGTTATTATATCGTGGTTTTGCATATTTCTTTGCAAAAGCAATATCAATAAATGAAAATAATATTTAATATTAATTGAAATATATTAAGTATATTTCATTTTTCGGTAAATAATGAAACAAAAAATAATATAAAAAAATAATACGATAATGTCTCTACAATACGTGTACAAGCAATGAGAAGACAATTGAATAAAAGGAAGAAAGAAGGCAGTACCATGCAAATTGCGAATAAACTAAAATGCTAATGTGTCTTCCAATTAACTGATAACGTGCTGTATATAAATTGTAGCTGCGATCTATCGAGCTCATTAGTAATTTGAAAAAGAGCATCAACAAAGTCGCGCCTTTATCATACAAGAAAATTTTGAATTAAGAAAGAATAATGGCAAGAATATATATCTATAATTTTCTGTGTATACTCGTTACGATGTTTACTATCGTAATCGCAGCAGATTACTGCAACATGAAATCATGCAGCAAAAAAAATAGTCATACTATGTGCAAATACTCCGTAAGTAGCAATATATTCACAAATGATGTCTTGTATACTTACGTTAATCGTTGTATACTTACGTTACGCGCAATCAAATTCTTTATATATCTTAAAAGTATCTTAAAGAATATATCTAACATTTTTAATTTTTAAATTAAACTATTGAAATAAATAATTTGTGAGAGAGATGTATATACAGGATGAATCAGAATCGTTGAATCAACTTTTTACCCTATGAGAAAATTATATTACTTCATACTGGATTATAACGTGCATGCAGATAATAATTTTCTCAGAGTAAAAAGCTGATTCAACGATTCTGGTTCACTCTGTATATAAAATAAAAAGAAATTAAACATGGGAAAGCAATTCTTTCTATATAATATGTTTTTTTGAAAAAATTTGTAAAATTACATATAATATCTGTCGTAGTTGTAAAATTTTATGATTATTATGGCTATATTATTGAGAAGGAATAATATTTTCTTAATTTTGTAATTATTAAATATATAAAAGTATATATATGGTATATATAGAGAGTTAAGGTGTGATTAAAATATATTCTGTAAAATATTAATAACAGAATGTACAGAATGTACAGAATGTACATTTTTTGAATGAATATTTATAAATATGTATTTAAAAATCATATAAGTATAGAACATCATTGAGATTATTTAAATTATCCTTTTTCTGAATTTTATAATTTTATGTCCGATATATCGTGATAGTTCATTTATTTCGATCAGCTTATTCTATATTTCCCTTTTTTTAATTAATATAATTCTTTAAAACGCAAACTTATTATAATTAGATTTAGTCTTCAGTTTTTAGAGTCAGGTCTAGGTTCCAACTGTAGCTCGCTGTATTTTATTTTTTAACTATATACCTCGCTGTATTTTATTTTTTTGCTGTATTTATATTCTTTTTAACTAATACATATATAAATAAAATTATTAAATTATTATTATTATTATATAAAGAACTAATGAATTATCTTCTCGACCTAATGTAATTAACTCTTCATGGTCCAATGGAATTTAAAAACCCAAGCTTTTTCAATTTTAAATTATTCGAACAATAAGCAGAAAAGTTCCCCTCTTTAAAAAAAAGTTGTTAATACTGACAACTTATGCTAAGTGATGTATTTTGTCAGTCATATTTCGTACAGCGACAAAAATTGTGCTACCAGTGATTAGACTGGCGAATTTGTTTTTCGTGTAAGTGAATTATGTTTTTTTTGTTATTTTTATTTTTTATTTCGATATGCATCGATATAAAATGTATATTACATATATAATAATGCATTACAATTATATTAAACTATTATATCCGTGCGTTCTGATAAATAAGTTAAATCAGATCGTTCATCATTAAATTTTTTTCGATATACAAGGACTATACGCTAAGTACGTTAAAAGATTTTAAGCGATGATTCGTCATAAATTTAAACTAACTTCATATAACTATATATATATATATAACTA